AACCAGAAGTGAAGTGATAGACAGGAAGTGGAATAGCTTTCTGGCTGATTCCTTGTGGCTGTTCACAAGACTAATTCTGATTTCATTCAACACCATTTTCCAGAAAAAACCCAAGATATTCTTCTGAAAGCCCTTTCTTTTCAAGTGTAAGTAACACTAATAAAAGTAATCCCTTACTATGTATACAGAGGCAGCTTTCCATTGTAATTCAACACATATCTCTGTATAGCTAATCAGAACAGCTACTGACTGCATGCATAATTTAGTGATGGCTAGAATGCCTTAATGCAGCAATATGGGTGAGGATGTAAACATGAGGTTGAGATACATATCCTACTGGAATTGTAACTAGTCATCAATAAAAATAATCAGACACAGCACATAGTAAGAAGTAAATATACTGCTCTGTCACAATTCCTAGAGCATTTCCCATAGCTCCTTTGATATAGGGAACAATTAGCAGATACTATGCACCAAAAAACAGGTTGGGTGGAAACTGCCTTGGTTGATAAACACAGGATTAGGATTCAAAAGGTTGAAGTTAATGTCCAGATCTGCCACAGATTAGCTGTTATATGGAAGATAATTCAGGTAGCTATTTTATGTTCTGTTTTCTTCATGTGCAAATTTAGGACAGTACTTGCTGTGGGTAAACCACACTATTGGGTCGCTTAGGCAGAGTAATCCACCACTGTGCACACTCGGATCACCAGAGAAAAGACAAGGAGTTGGAGGGTCTATTACATCCATGTTGCTTTTCTCTTTAACCTGGGAGTGCTCTCAGGGGTGGTGATTATACCATACATTTGAGGAAAGCTCTGGAAACTAAGTAGACAGAATTAAAGTCTTCTCAAAACATCTTTTCTGGCCTTTCAGTATAGAGCAGATGTAGTAAATTATATTTCCTTTTCCCATTTCCAATGCACAGCAGAAGTTATAACACCATGTTCATATTTACAGTAACGCTTAAAAAAATTCTACAGAAGTTTGCACTTGTAAATCTACAAACTTTTTTTTGCAAATTGACCAATTTATATTGTGAGCTATAAAAAAGAGAACAATTCTCCCACGCACTGTAATGCTGACTCATGCACTGCAGGATTACAGAGGCATTGCTTCCCTGGAGGATTATTCAGTTACTCTGGGGAAACTGTAGGTTATTTGTCCCTCCCTCTTCATGACTGCTCATGAAAACACCTACTGAATATTTTGCTGCTGCAGGCAACCTCTCTGATCTGTGTTCTGGCAGGAAGATACTTCTCCCCTTCTGGTTTAACTTTTTGAGCTTCAGAAATGTAAATGGACTGAGGAACCTAGTGAGCTTTCTATCTGTGCAAAATCTAAAGAAAGACCATGACTATTGCTTTTGGCTGCTTCAGACGCAGGGCTTTGGTGAAATAGTTACTGCACATTGCTTTTAATTTACTTTAGACCAATGCTGACTGTTGAGTTTCCAGCGTATAAGTTTCAGTAACAGGAAGACAACAGTGAGAACAGAAACTTGCCTGTTACAGTTGTATGTCAGATATTAAACACATATAAATTAGGCTAGCACTATTGATTACCTTGGAATGAGTTTGCAGTGTTTGTTTATATTAAGGTTTTGCTTAGTGAACATGAAGAATTCAGACTTTCATTAACTGTAAAGTGATTTCTGAGGCTAATGATAATTAGAGTGTTGAAAGCAAAGTACAGACCATTTCTTTTAAGAAAAATACAAAGGAACAAAAGGATTGACTCCCGGAAATTGCTTCTGTTTAAAGCTATCAAAAGTCAGTCTTTGACACATGCTATGAAATGATCACCACCCTTGTAGAATTAGATCTGACCCCCACACCCCTCTTTTTATGGTTAGGACTTTTTTTAAGTGCCCAACACCACAAGCATTCATACATGTGATTATCTTTACATACAGAAATAAATATTTAGCAATGGTGTTGCTAATATGTACAAAATTATTTACCTTTGTTAAATGCTGAAGGATAGGAGCTGTCTTTGTAGCATAACGCTGACATTTAACTCCCCAGGTAAAACAGCTTTTCACTGGTGTTTACAGGCATTTAAAAGGTACTTTAAAATAATGCTGACAATTTTACAGAAAATATAAGGAAAATATTATTTCTTACAGCAAAATTTTATATTTTCTTTTGCCAACTGTTACTTGAACACACCGAGCTCCTCAGTGTGATTTGAAAGCTTCATGAACATTAGACCTGAAAGTTAATTCCAATACTCTGAAGAATCCTCTGTGCTCTTTCTTGCTCCTACACTAGGTACAAATCCATCTAATTCCCACTGCCCGCCGACCCTCGCTCTCAGATAAGTGCCATGGACATTGTTTTCCTTTTTCCCTTTGTGCTGGAAGCCAGTTGGCCTCTTCCTCCCTCCCCAAAACCTTGTCTGACTTTCAGGCATGCCGGACAGGGCTGTAAGCCAAGCTGCCGCCCTCCCTCGCTCCTCACTGGGTGCTGACTCTGACGGCTCCTCTAAGGATATTGCAAAAACTGTACTGAAGATCCAGTTAGCCTTAGGTCCTAGTTCAGCCAAGCAGGAAGGCACAGGTTTAATTTTAACTGAGATTGCAGTGAAATTGGTTATGTGCTTATAGTTAATAGGTGTGTTATTAAGTTCCATGAGGATCAGGCCTTAATGAACATGCCCTCGCCGGCATGTAATGTTACACTTACAGGGAACTGAAAATAATTTTGAAACTTTGGTATTATTTTTACTCTATACACTTCTAAATAAACCAACTTTCCCTTCTTTTTGCAATATATTTATAAAAAAAACTTATTAACTTCTCCCATAGAATAATTCTTGAAATGTTTTATTTCAGATCTCAATATTCTCCCTGGAATTGTGCAAGTACTAATAATTTTGTCATGAAATTAAGGGTATAAATAAAAAAATACCCTAACCATGTCATCATTTTTGCACAAAACTTATTTTTATTGGGACATGTTACGGAGGCTCACACCAGACATCATTTTTAATTTGAGAAAATAATTTTCTGCATAACCTTTACCTATACTGTCCAGACAGCCTTCTCCATTTCATTGCCAGGATGCTCAAAAAAGGCAAAGTTCTGTAGAGCAGAAAGTGAGGTGCTGCTATTCCAGATGCCATCAGATCCCCTCCAGAAGACAACGAAATACTTATACAAGATCACAGACGACAATACTGAAGTCAATAGACCTTTGTCATTCATATCAGCTGGAACAGTAAGGCATTTGCTGCTCTGAAGGATTTGCATCCTTCCCTCTAAGCTACATAGTATGTCTCCAGGGCACTCTGTACAAAAAGATACACTATTTCATCCTGAATCTGTTGTAGCATTTTGGAAGCCATATAGGACAGGTATTTTTTTCTATTATTTCTGGGATATTAAGAATGGTAGCATTATGGAAGCAAACACATAAAGATTAAGATTGTCCAAAATGAACTCTGGTCTTCCCTGCTGCTTTTTGCCTGGACGGTTTTTGCCCTCTTCTTTCCCCTCAGTTCCCTCTCATTCCCATTGTTGCTACCCTTATGGCATGGTAAGTATTTTAGAAGATTACTTTACAACTGACCAGACTAGAAGGTCATTCTTGAACTCTTACAGCCATGAAGATTATAGAGAGGTTTTTAATGCATCAAATTAAAGAGAAAGACTGGCATTTTGATTTAAAAGGAGGCTACATTTTGTCTGTTCTTCACACCACTCTCAAATTCTGTTACATCTATCATTTTCCTCTGGTGAATAAACCAGGTGTTGGATGTCAGCTCAGAGTTCAGGTGAATCCTTCCTCTGTAAACTTGACTGTATCCTGAATATTGAGTTTTTAATCTTTTGTTCTCCTCTAAAAGTTGTGCAGTGTCAGCTGGCTTTGTTATGTGACTGCTGGGTAAGGTCTTGGCTGTATGAAATCAGTGGGGATTGTGCCACAGGATTCGTTGGGACTAAGGTTTCACCCAAGCTGTTTTATCTGTACCCCTTCTGTTTTGTTCTATCCTAAATAAACTCTCTACAGTCTTCAGTTTTCAGATTTAGCTCTCAGATGAAATAATTTACCTTCTCTGTCAGATAAAAATAAATGGATGGTTTTTAAGCTATGATGCCTTTTAACTACTTGAAAAACAGCAAAGGACAAAGCAGGGGGGGAAATCTAGATTTGCTTGTCCATTAAAGTTTAATGCTAGGTATCAGGTTTATTTTCCAGACAAAATTATGTTATCACTGTAGAAGAGGATACTTCTAGAACTGTATAAAGTATAGGTATTGATTGTCTGAAGCATAGCATTATGCAGCTATTGCCTGACAAACTTTCTGGGTATATTATCATACAACGGTCTAACCTTTGTTCAAAGCCTTACTTGTTCATTTTTCCAATGGAAACATCAAATTTAGCACAAAACCATCTCAGATCCTGTGTAAGTCACTTTTCCTTGTTCTGTGTTTAGAAATGAAATTAAATTGTCACTTTCTCTTGGTTTGAGGGCTAAGGCATGCTCACTGCAAAGCTGCTGTCTCATTCACTGACTGGACATTATCAGGTGCTTGATCAAAGGAAAAAATCAGCTTAGCCTAGCTTGAGCACAAGGCCTAGCATATGATATAGCAAGCAAAGCAAGCGTTCAGAAATGCAGCTTTCAGAAAAGCTGCTCAAAAATGTGCAAGAATTGATGAAAATACAAAGCAGGCAATAGTGAGTCTACACTCAGATTTTGGTAAAAAAAAACCCAAAACACACATTCAGATGGTCTCAGTTGAAGAGCTGGACGTTGGTGAAGGTACAACACCTCTTGGAAAACCTGTTTGAGAAGCAAGAACAGCATCACCTGCAGAGCAGGGGAAAGGAGGGACCCTCCACCCTTGCCTAGTGCAGTGTGGGCTTTGCCAACATCCCCACTGTGGGAAGCAGTCCCTCCTGTGGCCTCTGCTTCTGTAGCTCGTCCCTATCAGACAAGGCTGTACTTTGCTAACTGTTGATTCCTTCAGGAAAAGAAACTTTACTCACCTTCTGTACTTTAAAGTGGAGCCTGTAGAGCGCAGAAATAGCTGGTGACAGAGGGGTAAAGATTTCATTCAAGAAGCAAACGCAGCAGGTGAATATGTCTTGGACATCTGTAAGTGTCTTTACCAATCCACATTGTCATGGGATACTTGCAGCACTGTGGGAAGGGAACACGAGTCTTTTCTCTATTGTAAACTAACTTATGTGTGAGTTTGCTGTTATTTTTCTTCATATTAGACCTCACTTTAGAGAATACATTTTTGGGGTTTTTTTTCCTAGAAGTAGGATCTTTTTCACCAGTCTTCCCTTGGTTTCACATTTCAAGTAGATAATACAGTGGCATTAGCATTTTATCTGGTGACACAAGAGATGTACCAACACACCTACCAGACAAAAGTGATTGGTGTATAGGCAGACACAGGTGAAAGACATTACAGCTGTAAGAAGATAGAAAAAAAAGACAATAGAAGAATTTTCCGCATCATCTGTGCTACCCTGCCTTTAGAAAAGCTGTAAAAATCTTATACCATACAAGTAATTGGGGTTTATTTTATTAGCTGTTCATATAGTACTTTTTCGGCAGAGATGTTGTGATAGCAACTGATGCATAATGCAAATGAAGTGTAGGTATCCAGCATCTCTCATTGCATTCTTCTCCTCAGTATTTCCTAAACATAGACTTTGCCCTTTTTTTCATTTCATGTTGTAAAAATTGAAGGGTCTTGCATTTTACAGTATGTACATACACTGGATGAGAAGAGACACACAAATATTTATGACATGAAAACTGCACGTGCAAACACCTATCTGGTTTCTCAGTTTGTGCACTCAGTGTCTGAATTTTACATTTATGGCTATCAACTATGGATCACTAGGCTCTATTTTTAGCTACTTAAAAAGGCAGAAAAAGCTTAGAGGCAGAAGAAATGACCTTTCAACTCCCATGAGAAAAAATGTTCTCTAAAATAGCCATTTTTTATATAACCTCAAAAAAAGCTGTCATTTTTTCCTGCATTCTTATGCTATAGTCTTTATCCACTAAGCAAGCAACTCTGAATAAATATCGCAACTGTAAGAGGCTGTGGGGTTCAGGTTTTGGGTTAGGGTCCGAGTCCTATCTTACAAGATGTTTGTGACCTTTTCCCCATCTACTCACTGTGCTTTTTTTTCCAAAGATCTTCCATTTTTTGCAATCTTTCCTCATTGCTGGGTTTTCATATTGACCATGGGAGCACTCAGAAGAACGTGTGAGACTGATGCTTATCTTTCGCAGCGGTTGTGGCCCTCTTCCACTCTTCCCCTTCTCTGCTGACACTTTCTATTCCCCACCTCCCCCCAAATGTTTCCTGTATGTATTTATCACTGTTTTTATTCTTGTGGGTGTGTATGCAACCAATTGCAAAAATACAGTTGACATTTTAGTCTCAAAGTAGACTGGTTTGTGGCTATTGCTATTTCCTTCTGCTGAAAAGATGTGAGGAAGTAGCTGAGAAAATTTTGTTTTCTGCTTTCACATGTTACACGCTTAAGGTCACTGGGTTTGGCACTTCTAAGGAGTAGAACTGTTACAAATAAACCTCACAGAGAGTGGGGAGAGGTGCTCTTTATGAAATTGAGATTGAGTTAATGAAGGCCTTTGAAGATTAAAGTGAAGGCTCTGAGTACAAGAACCACCCAACACAAAGGCTTCATTTCCTCTGGGTACGTGTTGGAAGGCTCATCCAAGTCACTGGGAGTTGCCTCAAAGTTTTATAGCGATAACAATCCCAGTTGCATGAACCCTACATATTTCTAATGAAAAAAAAAAATTCTAGCCCTGTAGTCGTTATTATGGATGTTCTCTAGGATATCAGACTAAAAATATCAGCAGATAACAACACAGCACTACAAGATAAAGTCTCCATTCAAAAAGTATTAAAGACAAAGCTGATTTTCGTCAGTCCTGGTGGATGTTTGGGGTTAATTCTGTATCGCTGAGATGTTCTTGCTGACCTAACTGTGGAGGGGCAAGAGTTACAGACAGCACAGGAAGAGAAACACACAAGTACCTGTAGAACAGGTTAGTGGTCTCTGCCAAGGGATTTCTAGACTTTCTACTTATGGCTGTGCAGATGGAGAGTTAACTCTTGTATTGAAGTCCTGCTTGTGATATACTCTGTTTGCAAGGAGTCAGGACTTGCTGACTGAATAAATGCAATGCCAGTGTTTAAATGGGTTGGGCTATATTAAAATTAGATTGCAATTAATGTGCATAGCTCACTTAACCATAGAAACGCTGAGGTCTGAAAAGAGGCTAAGAAACATCTTAAATTCAGCTGGATCTAATGTTTCAAGTATTTCATCACCGAGTGATTAACAGTTTCATGGCTATAAAAGAATATTTCATAGGCATCTTTAGCAACCTGACAATACCAGGTTTTGGTATTACAGCATTTTGGAAACTTTTCTTTGCTGGTCAGCACTGTAGCACAAAATTTCTCATGCTAGTATAATCACAACAAAGAATAATTCCTGGGAAAGTGGTTTGTTTGATTGTTGTTCCAGCCTATATTTTTTGTTCTGTTTAACAATCTATGACTCTATTCAGTGATGATTTGTCTTGATTTGGTGGAATCCCTGTAAATAAATTTCAGCTTAATTTCATAACTGGAATTTAGTAAGCAAGGAAGAAAAGCCTTTTATGTTTCTTTCCTGTGACATTCTGAACTGTACTATTTGGTGTACTGGGTACAGTAGCAAAATCCAGAAAAGAAGATCTAGTTGACATAGCATCCTGCCAGCAGCCAGATATGTGTTTTGCCAGTGAACTCAATGCAAACTGCTTCACTGAAGACTATTTCCTAAGAGCTTCGTAGCACGAAAACATAGTTTAATTCTGTACCTAAACATTTCTCATCCTTTAAGATCCCATTCCCATCCTGCAAATCAGTTCATCTACCAGTCTTGAAAGTTCACTGCAGTGCCATCTTTACTGATACACAATATCTAAAACTGAGTAATTTTAGCTTGAACAAATACGATCTGCACTTGAAGTCGTACAGCTGGAAGTTCATCCAAACTCCCAGGTAACTTCCTCATCCCATGCTGGGGCAAGTATAGCGACCTGCAGCTCCTTTTGGGCTCTTTCTCATCTCAAACTCTGGCTTGGGGAAAAATGAAACAGCACCTGCTATCTATGCTAGGTAATTAGTTTATGGCACACACTTTGTAATCAGCTGGAAATTCACAATCTGTTTCATTGTTGGTTATGGAAAATGGTGCATGTTACTTCAGTTGAAGATCTTCTTCTTTTTTTCTGATGCTAGAGTACTGTAGAACTTCACTAACATCCAAGCGTTTAGTATCTTCCATTTTTTTCCAGTGCACAGGCAGGCAATAATCACAGATTCTTGGATACAGATGAAAGGAAGTTCCGTCTTTAATTTCCTCCACTGCAGCTGTCCTGTGCTGAAGGCATCTGCCATACCTAATGGATGAGTTCTTGCTGTGGGAACACTATCAGTTTTGTGCAAACCCCACTGAAGTTTCTGCCAAACTTTGCAGAGACCACATTTACTGTTCCCTTAAAGGTTCACAGTCTGCCCCTTTCTGCTCCATTTCATCTCTCCTTAGCCTTCTGCAGAAAACCAAGGAGATTCATGGGGTCTGCGGAAACAGCTACACTTTCAGATTCAGATACCACTGTATTAAGGGAAAAGAAAGCATTCCTATCCTACACACTGGTGTATCCTACCAAGCAGGGAAAAAACCCAGTGGCTGTGGATAAATCAGAATAGAAACCCATTTTACACAGAACACTGAGTGTCAGCCATTCTTGGACTGAGCTAAAAGACAGGGGGTTTTCTCCCCCATTGAATACTGGCTGACTGTAGTACTAGTTCCTCTACTGAACTGGATCCAGGCTCTGCTCTCTGATATGCAAAGTGCTAGAAGCAGGAGAAAGGTTTTCTCAGCAGTGGGTTGCAGGCTGTCCATTTGTACAGGGTGGACCAAGACGGCTCAGGATCCTATGTGACACTTCTGCATGCCTGGAGCTAGAGGAGTGAATTTTGTTCCTTGGACCTGGTGCCATTCCAACAGGAGCAACTGTTATGACAGCACAGTCATGTTTCAGAGCATTATCTTGAAAGCAACATAATCTAAATATGCATTGGAGATCTGACTGCAGTATATACTGTGACTGTTATGCTACACTTCATTGTAGACTGCCACTAGAAAACAAGAGTTGTAACTGGTAATTTTTTTCTGAAATGTAGGCAAGAGGTTGTGAACATACAGCAAATGTGCTGTAAGCAAAATTAAGAAATGGAAGTAAAAATAAAAAATCCAGTGGTTCAAAATGTAAGTCTAGGGAAAAGTGTAACAAATCAGACATTACCTGGGAAACCTTGGTAGGAATGTTCTTCCTGCAGATCCCATTCTCTATTCCCAGGAAAAGAGAAGGATACCAGGATTTCCCCCACGAAAAGAAAAAATGAAAACATATAGCCAGTTAACTAAGAAGAGACCAATGGATTTCTAAAAAGAGAATTTTCATTTTTAGTAGTCTTGAATGGCTACCATGCTACACAGATCACAAAAGAAAGACATCAGGCTTCCTTGGGGGATCAGACAGACTTCTAGCTATACAATGGGGGAAAGTTGCACAGACTCCTCGAAAACTGTCTTTTGGCACCCAGGGGTTTTAAGTGCATAAAACCAGCAGGGCTAATAATGAAACTAATGAGGCTTAGGACTCATACTGTTCACAATGCAAAAATGCCTGAAGTATAGTCAGTGATAGGAAGCTGAAACAAATTCACCATAGGGCCAAATTGCACATTTTTTCATAGGGAGAGTAATGTAATTAAACTTACTCACATGCAGGACCTTATTCATATGCAATATTTACACTCAGGCTAGAGGTCTACGTATTCTACCACCAATAGAAATTATGATATGCAAGACTGATGCCCACATTTGACTTGTGTTATGAGAACAGATTAGACAATTCCTGCTAAGGTTCATTTTTACTGCCAGAAGTCTATGACCTGTACTCATCAGACTACAGAATTTCAGAAAGGGTGATTTTCCAGGATTGTGGATAAAGGGAATGATATTGCTGTAAAAGAAGACAGAATTCAGCTTGCCATTTCCAGACATTCTGCAAAGCTCACCACCACAGCAATCTACTCTCGCGCTATGTCTCTTTATGTCTGTATTTCATGTGTGAACAGATATATGTATGTATGTATATGTATACACATATATGTATGTATAAATGTACGTATGCATACATGCGTATATGTAAGTGTGTGTGCTTAAGGTAGGATGAGCGGTTTCCTGAGCCATAGAAAAGTTGTAAAAATTGTGTTATGTAAACTGACGGCAAAAGCATTCACTACATGAGTCATATTTTGCACAGCTAGTACTTAGAAAGCCAGCACTGTTTTGGCTTCTTTTCTTGTTCTGGGGCTGGATCAGTTTTCTACTTGACATAGCATTATGCTTCAAGTAACTTTGTTTGACAGAGATATGGCATGAGCAATTTAGTTGCTATCTGATGGAAGAGAGCTTGGAGCTGTGTAGGCCCTGTTTTGAATGCTTTTTGGGCTAGGCTGGAGTAAAGAATGATACTCCTCCATACATTGTCTTAATGACTCATCATTTTAAACAAGATTTGAAAGACACTGAAAGTCTCATGAAGCATCTGTGGGAAGCTGACAGTGTAAGGAGTGTTTCACCCATGTAGCTATTAGAGTCACAGATCTGAGTGAACCTCATACTCAAAGCAGGACTAAATCTGAAGTTAGACTATGTTGTTCAGGGCCATGCTCAGTCATGAGTTGAAAAATCTCCAAGAGTGAAGGTTCCACAGCCTCTTTGAACAACCTATTGCAGTTCTTCACAACACTCATAGGGATTTTTTTCCTTTATATTCAACCGGAATTTCTCTTGCTGCAGCCTAAGACCGTTGTCTGCAGTTTGTCCATCTCTCTTGTACTAGGGAGCTCAAAACTTTACATGGTTTTCCCAGTTTAACCTCACTAGTGCTGAAATGCTAAAATTTAATTAATCACACAGAAGATACAAAGACAGAGTCAATTGCCATGTAAATCAAATATCAGGTTGAAGGTGTAAAAGCTGTTACCAGTTTCCAGTAGTGGTTCAGCATGATAAGCTTCTGAGAACCTAAGAGGCATGAGATCACACAAGAGAGGTCAACATCCAAATAATATAAAAGACAGATTTTTATAACAGAAGCTCTTGTTTCTCTATTGAGAGTATCTGCTAAGCTATTTTTGTTCCTTGCAAGACAACTATTTCATATCTTGATGATTTTGAACAAACTGCTATTTAAAATTTACATGTCAGCTTGACTGGAAAAAAATGATCCAGAAGTCACTAAAAGGAAGAGGTTGTGACATTTTTTTTTCAGTCTTGGCTACAATTATGATTCTTTTTTTAAAGTCTGTATAACTTGGTAGTATATGCAAAAGGTACACAGGGGGCATGTAGATGATTTCAAGAGAGGAACTCAAATTTTATGCAGCAACATCTATTTTTCAGTGTAACTCCCTAGACAATTATTAAGGTATGAGCAATTTCATGTTGTAAACTTCCCTCATGCACTTCTAGTCTTTCAGTCACTGGCATAATAGGTGCTATTATGACGTGGAAATATGCCAGTGCACTTACCCTTGATAAGCACACGGTCAGTTGATTTAAAATACAGTTGCTATGCAAAGTGAAAATTTACCTTTTCAAGTAGTGATCCTTGTCTCAAATATAGCCACAAACGTTGATACAATCTTTACAAAAACAGCTATCTCCCATAACTTCAAAAGGACAAGTCAATCATTTAATTAAAAAAAAAAAAAAGTTGTTCCACCCTTCTCTGGTTCTGACTAAGGCAATGCTGACATTGATTTTGGTTTGACTGTTAGATAGGTCACTACTGCCACTAAGTCTGCCTTAAAACACATGCGCCTTCTGCAATGTTGCTTTGGAATATTTTTCAGTGCAGTATCAGAACAAAACTGAGCTCCTCACTCATGAGATTGTATTTGTGAGATTCTGTACCCTGAGGGCCAGACCGGCTGGGTAATAACCAACGAAGTTAATGGGGGCAAGAAGCCTTCTGCTTTCTAGCACAACTATTCTCAGGAATACAGCTGCAATCTCCATGCTCTCTGGAGAGAACAAGTCTACCCAAGGGAGAAAGATAAGTGATAGGACTGCAACACCTCTTTGGGGTTTGTTTTTTCCTGCCCTGTTCCAGGAGATTATTGTCACAGGAAGTGGAGCAGTGTCTGCAGTCAGAAAGATATGGAGACACCATTCTGACTGGCTTGCAATGGGAAGAACTCCTGATATACAGAGGTCAGCCATAGCTGGACACTTCTACCCTCCTCATTTTTGTAATAGTCCTAAATAGAAGGACATGTCAGTCACAGATACTGTCCCCTTTCTGTCACAATAAAAAATGAAGTAAACATGAGGAAGAAATAATCCTTGGCATGTTTGCAGTGTATTTTGAAAGGTCCTATAAGGTTAAGAACATTATCTGGAAAGCCAGCTGCCGTCTTTACTCCTCCCTGTTCTCGGTAAGTCCCTTACTCAAATGGAGGACAGGTTGAACCTCGTTGCACTGACGTTTTGAACTTTATCTGCTGGTTCTTATCTCTTCTGCCACACAAAATATGTACATGAGAACCCTAATTTCTGCACGTTAGCAGCAGAAAGATTAAAAGAAGAAACAAGTCTTTCATTCAGCTATTCCCTATGAGCAGAAGACCTGAATGCTAATGAATGTGTACAGTCCAGAATATCTGAGAAGAATCTTAATAGAGCACACGCATCTTCCTTCAACAGAATTAAAGACCTTGTTGCTGCTGCATCTTTCTCAGTGTACATGGCGCGGGATGTCTTCTGTATCAGTTAATACTGCACGTCCAGTAACAGATTGCTGGTCTTATTACTGCTGCTCTGCCTAGCAACCCAAGTAATGAGTGAGGTTGTATCATGGTAGGCACTTCATACAGACAGGGAACTGTCTGCCTCAGAAAACTTACACTCTGTACCAACCAAACAGGTTAATGAAGGTGAGGAGGTAAACAATACAGAAGGAACTGAAGACCCCTGTGAAAGGCTGGGTGAAGCTGGCTTTCCTTGCAAAGCCATGACCCTGCTGGAAAGATCGCCTCTCCCCTGCTTCAACCTACATTTTGTGACCAGACGGTGAATTCAGGCAGGGGCCCGTCACTTCCAAAGGGCATCTGGAGTTCACAGCGAAAAAGAGCTCAAACCTATCAGTTCTCCAGGTGTGCTGCCCTGGCCTCTTCCCTCAGCGCCACGGGCTGTTAGCAAGCACAGGTACTCACCGGTGGTGGGGCGCTTCCCATTCTTTGTGGAGCTCAGCTTTGGCTACAAGAGCAGCTAGAAGCTGGCAAGTTTGTGTATACCCCCCTCACTTGTACCTGATGTGTTTGACCTTTCTTTCTTATAAGCTGAATAATAAAATTAATAGGCTAATTGATTATTTTTTTTTAAATAATGAATGCAAGTAAAATAAACTTATGGTCATGTTTTTACTTAATCTTAATTGTTAAGTATTTAGGACCGTTATCACCTTCTCTTACTTGACACAGCAGCACAGTTTGATACTCTTAGAGACATGAAATAATCTAGATTCTGGAAAAATAGAAATGTTATTCAGAACACATACACTAGGATCAGTGAAACTTGCAGCTGAATGGGAAATGTAATATCTAATTTCTAGTGCATAACATGAGGCATAACATTATGTTAAGGACTGTAACAGTCCATTACAGTCAGTGCATGACAGAACTTTTAATGTATGCTTTAAGCAAGAAAGCCACAATTTCTAAATTTTCAAATGTTCCATGGCTTTAAAACTACTTTGGGCACCAGAAATACAGCATTTTATGAAGTGTCAGCGGAAGAAGGCATTTTCTGTTTCACAATAACATCGATAAAGCCCCTAGCCTGACAGATGAAAGCCTTGCCATTATTAGGTATAATACTGTACATAACATTACACAGACTAAAAAATATCCAACTACACGTTAAAAACAAAAGCCTCCTTATGCTGACAAGTCTACAACAGAAAGAGCCAAGTGGGATAAGTTCAGTATTTCACTACTGAGAGAAATGATGGTGTGTATAATGTTATTGACAGCTGCAATGTTTTGGGAAAGGATTTGGCATTACAAAGCCTTTAAAGAGCATATTGTATTTAGTAGAAGTGAATCTTTTATGCGGATAGATATTGTGTTTCTTTTAGAGACAGGCAAATATTTAGACACTATTATTTGGAGGGAGGATGTCCTCCTAACAAGATACTCTAGTATTTATAAATAAAAATATTAAGAAAATCCAATTTCTGTGGGAAATGTTGGTGCTCCAATGTCAATATTAAAAACTTCACTGTTAAAAGGGCAGTCAGATACAGGTTTTTGGTTGCAGTATTGGTATGGTTGCATAAATTGAATGTAGCTTTTGTTACTGATATAGCTGTCATGAAAATCTGCAGTCCCACCTCTTTAAAAATGTGCATTTTTTTAATTGTTATGAACTTTACCAAGATGTAAGAGTGAATATTTTACCCTGTTATGTTTGCAATCATCTCTTAGCTACAGTATCAGGCTGTATTCTCATAGTCAACAAATTTTGTTAGCAAGTTTAGAGGCACAGTAGAAGTGATGGGAATCATCATGTTAATGAAACTCAGGTTTAATAATTAAATCGTGGTAACTAGAGGGGAGGGTATGCTTTTAAAAAATTCATTCAAGGCCTGTGGTTATGTAACTGCCGTGTGGTTTAAACCCATTACAAATTCTCTGAAGCTGGCTATTCAAAGTTTTTACTCTATATTGCATAACATCCTGTGCACCGTGAAGCACGTGTACATACTACCCTTACGCTAGTGGTGGCACTGAACATACAGATGTTCAATGGTGCTTGTACAAGTTTCTCACTCACATTGCAACAAGTTACTGCTGCCTTACACTGAAACCTTTGCTTTGGCATGCTTTGCTTAATGGCAAATTGCCTGGGTACAGGCAGCTGCAAGATGGCATTTCTTTACTTTCCAAGTCAAGTAGCACTTAACTGTGCACAAAGGGCAGTGCTGGTAGTATTGAACAGAGGAAAAAGAAAGAAGGAGTCATTTGTTAATTTTACAAGCTTTTCTGTAACCACATACATTACCCTGTGTGAATGGGTTCATAGCTCTGAGCACATGAGGTGCTACATTAGACAACTACACATTATCCATTTTGCTGATCAATAACACTGAACAATGGGTGGTCTGTTATGTGGTTTATTCCTTCTTTTGGTCAGGTCAGTTAGTTTGGCAAGCATTTGAATTTTATTTAATAAAAGCTGATTTAACAATGACTGATTTTCCTTGTACCTTTTGCCATTAGCAAGAATCTTCCATTTGCTAGAAAGGGTTCTTGGCTGGGAAAAAGCCAATATTCTTTAACTTACCTTCTGCCCTGAGGAGATCTCTTGCATAGAAGCTCCAGCCATGTTGCTCAGTAGGCTCGAGTTTGTGACTTCTTGAATGTTGTGTAATTACAGAGGATCATTAATACCTTCAGCTGTGTTATTGTAGTTGCCCATATGTTAGGTAGTTTTCATCTGCTGACCCTGGTGTAGAGGACTGGAGCTTAAGAACAGGGTTGTGAGAAAGCATATGTTAAGTATAATGTATAAATGTAGATGTATCCTTCCTCCTCCACTCTGCTCTGCGTGAGAATCTCGTGCAAAGTAACAAAAGCCCCACTCTTACTTGGGTGCAAGCTCAGGGAAAAATATGTAAAAAGTGTTTTAAATTTGCAAGTCTTGCTCATATCAGTGGGACAATTAAGTAAAAAAGCAAATGTTTTTGAAAATGTCAGGAGAAAGTAAAATTACAGAGGTGTTTAAGATATTGGATTTAGTAATTCTGTTAGAAGGAATGACCTGCTTTGAACCTCCGGATGGAATGTGTGCATGTATGCACATGTGTGTGCATATGCTACAGCTAGTGGGGGCTATAGAGATATAAAGCATATTTGACATCTTATTTCACAAACTTTATATTTTTTTGCAAGACTATTGCTCATCTGTTCCTTCTGATGGGTTAAGTTACCTCTGTGCCACTGCACATCTATGATAACTCAATCTACTGGGGCTAGTCTGTATAATTTTATCATACCGAGGCCAAAAAACCTATCCTGCCCTAACACACAAACATTTTATTTATAGGCCAGTAGGACAGAAGCCTTCCCATTCCTTATCTTTTATAACACTCCACATAATGTGGTATCAGGTAGTGGACAAAATGAAGTTAATTTCAGCTCCACGGATAACCTGTGGTATGACCACTTAAATATAAAAGCAGTGCAGATGTGAATAGTGGGACGCTGTAAGAGGGGAACAATCTGCCCTGCTAACATTTCTGAAGCATTTGTCTCTTTCTTGAGACAGAGTTTGTTATCACTTTTGTTACTGCTATTTCAGCAGACAGGAGTGCGTAGTACAAATGGCCTGAAACATGTGGGGTGTCACACATCCTTACAAAAATCTAGGGTGTCCTTATAGGGAAGCAAAGAAAAAGTACTGGGGCCATAATTTTCAAATTTCTACATGGCTTTTATTGACTTCATCTAAGCAGCAAATATAGCTGAGTCAAATAGCCAGAAATTATCTTTAATTTTACAGTCCTATCCTAACCTACTGTTTATGCTACCAGAGTGTACAGACTCATTTCCACTCTCAGGGAGTGCTGAGAGCTGTGAACAGCTAGTGCCAGAGAGGGGGTGCTTTGGCTTGTAGTGCTCCTCACCCCTGCCTTGCAGAGAAAACCCAGGACTGCCCCCATATCGCCCCAAAACCAGGCATCTGCTGTGAATAGGAGATCAAGAAGATACCCTAATACCTGCTCTAACCCTTGCTGAAGCAAAATGCAAAGCCCTATTGACCTCACTTGATTTTTGATTCAGTCCCTCCTGCAGACAGCCCATGGTAAAAACCTTGAGGCTGTTTAGTTGTTTTTGCCAGCTGAACCACCCTGGTGTTTCTTGTGTAGCACCTGTATAGTGCCTGCATGAAAAGGGGTGGTCTGAGCCTCCCAGCTGCACCACCTTGTAATTCCTTTGTCCCAGAGGCACCAGCTTAATCTTGGAGTAGCAGAGACCTCACACAGGTTGTGCTCTATTCTACTAGACATGGGTTTATATCCTAGAAATAAGAAAAAAAACCAGATGTCTTGTGTCAAATAAAAAACCCAGAAGCAAAAAACCCAGAAGCAAGTAATAATATAATTAAGAACTGACACATTCATTCTTGCTGTGTTCCAACATGAAATAGCAGAGTTTTTGGTTTGGATAAGGCATCTATGTCAGAGCATTAGCTAAATCATGTCCTTGCCTGCTTAAATGAAAGAAAAAAAATATTAATTCTTTTTAAAGGCTTTTGACCTTGGTTTTTTGGAAGATGGTATTAATGTTGTCTGAATCAATGTTCTGTCTCTATGCATAGCCATTGCACACACTTTACAAAGATTCAGCATTAATATTTCTACAAGCTTTAACAGCCTGTTTCAGGACTTCAGAAATGACAGATAAAAGGAAAGTTTTCAAGGTTGTTTACTGTTTTGCAGGACTTAATTCTTTTAAGCCATACATTTTTTATTTATCAAAAACATACTTGAAAAAGTCATGACTGAGAACTTATTTTTGCACACAGGTTTAGTGGATATTCAGAATTTGTAAGTCATCACTGTGAGTTTAGCTGCAGATTTTCTCTCCCACCACTTTGCATCACTGATATTTTACTGGGGATCTTTGTGAAAGTCCTCAGGCTCAGCGATAGCATCACATTCCTGGAGAATCATTCTCCTAATGTCTCAGATTATAAAGTCACCTCGGGCTATAGGGTCCCACACTGGGTGGGCAGATCAGAATGTACCAGCAGCAGCAGCCGCTCGCTCCTGTAGTGTAAAAAATGTATTTCAGCAAACTAAAAATGCCAGTCACTGGTGTATGTGATTAGCACCAATTCACGTGCAAATGGAGAAAGCAGATAAAGGACCCAGAGGACATCCCCAAAAAGAAGAAGCAGAGCAAGCAGACAAGCATGTGTAGGGAAGGGGGGGTGGGGGGAATTGTCTGTCATATACCTGCCAATAATGGTATGTACTCCATGGAATAAAATATCCTGGGAAGTGACAAAAACACACAATTTAATGTTGTTGCTGGAGCAAACAAGTATTCCGAGAAATGTATGTTTCTCAAAGTCTAGAAGTTTCTTTTTCAAATGGATTAATCTTTTACATAATGAACAGACATGACTAATTTGCTGAGCTCTTATATAACATTAAAATATTTTAATTTGCACATTTTCTGCCTTTACAGTATCAAAAGTACTATCTATTTTTGCTTGTATTTGTTCTTCAGTAGCTTATTATTCGACACCACAAATTAGTAATTTCTTTTGAGACTACATTATAGAAAACAGTGAGGAGCAAAAGATAAAATCTCCATGAGAGGGGACTAAGAGAAAGTGTTCTGCACAGCAAAGGAGCTGCTGTTTCTGCAGCTAAAATCTCATGAGAGGCACTGAAACGTCACTCCAAAGGCTCTCTAAGCCATTCACTAGCAGATCGGAGCAGTGCACCCACCAGATCCATGGATTGCTCCCCGGCTGGGACTGGCAGAGATGAGGTGTACGTAGGAAGCAAGATGACTGGCAATATGTTACTAGACTGAGATCACTTTCCTACAGGAATCCCGCCAGACCAGTATGTTCTTCTGTCACACATTTCAAACCAAGTCCTACAGCAGCTCTTGTTTGTGAGGTGTTATGAATTGCAGCGCACAGTCTGAAAAAATCACAGAGTTAAATATAAACACAGATATAACGACTGTGAGGTCTGTACAGCCCAGCAAAGCAAAGTCTTAAAAGCAAGCCTAGACAGCAAGCCTAGCACAGGAACACCATCCTTAGGATGAACACCCTTGCAGGAAGCCTGATGCTCTGGTGTCACAGGCAGTTACAGCTGTATGTGAGCTTAAAGCCAGCCTGGACAACAGCAGTTTGCATTCCCAGAACAGGTCAAGACAAAGATCAATGCAATGATAAACTAGGCCTGCAGTCCCAGAAATTCAGCAGTGTAGTACATACAACATAAAACACCACAACTTCATAATCGTGTACAACAAGGTACAGTATTTGATGTCTAACAGACTGGCATGCTGTTGGAGTCTTGCCTGATCTACTTGGGTTTTGCAATAGCAACAACTGAGCTAGAGTCTGAACTCCAGGGATCTGTGTTAATAAAACAGGATTATTATCTTTATAGACCTTGGTCAAAAGCTGAGGATTACAACTTCAGATATAAACAGCATGAACAGACGAACTGTTCAAAAGCAGAATTTCTGTTGGTAATTGCTTTTAGCAATTCAAAAAAAGGAGAAGAAAATTACACGACATACTTGCCAAGGTGTGTGCAAGCAGAATGTTTGTCTCTGGCATTACCAGCCAAAGTTGTGTAGACGCTTCATTAAAAATGTAGAAAAAGCAATATAAATATTTTGTATATGAAACCACAGCTAATATTAAAGAGTTTAACTGTTATTGCACAGCTCACTGCTAGGGGTAATCAGCTAGACTTTCTCCTCACGGCTGAGCACTCCAAGTAGGGCCCCCAGCCCCCTGCTCAGTACAGACGTGCTCTGAGGTAGAGCAGGCAGGACACCAGTCACCCCTTTCCCTATACCCTGCTACCAGTGGTAAGCTCTTTTAGGTCACTGAGCTAAATTATGTATCCTCTTGTGTACAGGAAAAGGAAGGATACTGATGCCCGGTTCAGAAGCATCAAATCCAACTGAAAGCTGTGGGAGTTCAGGGGCTGGGCTCATTGGAGGGTTTAGAAGAGCCTCCTTTGAGGTGTAAAAGGGTATTTATCCAGAATTATGTGCCTATGGGATGAAAGAGGGTTCAGAAAGATCCTGTACAGCTCTCAACATGCCTAAACTCATAAGCGTTTATCTTTTGGCCTGCACCCTCCTGGTGCTGTCAGCTCTCCCCACTGACCGCTGCGAGGGCAAATAACGCACTTTCTGCTGACGCCCTGCTAGGGCCAGGGGTTTAGGGTTTCTCTCCGGATCTTGTCCCATGCAATTTGCCTTTGGTAACGCAGATAAAGCAGGAAACTGTATGTAGAAATACAGCAGCTAGTGATTTGGGGATTCTCCATTTTGAGTCCTGAAAGTCAGTAATCAGTGATCACAAGGTGAGCATTTATCATCAAAACTGGCTTTTGAAAACTTGGCTCGCTCTTTTTTCCTCCCTTTATGACTCATGCTCACTCCTGCTTTCCTTTGCTAATATTAAAAAAAAAAAAAAGAAAACCACAGATCACCATTAAAAAATCTGAAATTATCCTAAAGGACATTCTTTTTATAGCTTCACACTGTTAATACAGATTGTTGCAGATAAATTATAACAAGTATTCACTTGCCAGCATGCTCCAAACAAAGTAAACAAAAAATGTCCCCTGTCTTGATGTTAATTTCTTTCTCTATTTGCTGACTAAAATCAGTTGTGCTCACATTAAGACTAGACAGAGACGTGTTTCTCTGGTGGTGTCTGCCCAGAAGGACAGTAAAAGTTTGTCTGAACATAGAGGTCTGTGTCTGAGCAGTGCAATGGGTCGGATAGAAGGCAGAAAGTAGCTCTTCTAAAAATATATATTTATGTGTTCTTAATAAAAACCACAAACGAGATGGCCTTTTCTATCAGCATTGAAAAAATACATGGGAAAGAACTGATTTTTCCCTTGATCCTCATTAGATGCCGTTAGCGGTTGCTGCACTTACAGAAAAAGGTTTCTTCTCTGTATAAGAAGTTGTGTGTGGAAAGCAGCGATAAAGCCTGTGGTACTTCTTTGTGAGTGCTTTTGCAAGTAGCTCAGTGGAACTCGCAAATGCCCCTTCAAACCATTTAAGCTTTGAAGAATCAGC